AACCTCTTCTATAGAAGAGGTTAGAACTGGCAGGAACCCACCCCTGATGCACACACAGACACACAGATCCAGACCCAAAACCATATAGGGGTAATAGGTCATGATTTTATTGTGTTGATTATATTCCCTGACTTACCCTTCTGAAAGAATTGTTCTTCCCCAAATCAGAGACCAAAGTCATAAACATATTCAGAAAGCAAATATTTTGTCATCTTTTGGAAAAGTGAACGTTTTCCCACAATGGCACTCAAATTATAATTATTCTACGTCATAGATTGTTTTTCATGCCAAGAGATGAGTGTTTCTCCTTCTGTTTGTTTGGGTGACAGGAGCGACTGTACTGCCGTGGCTCAGTTTACATGAGACCCTGGGTAAGACTCCAAGTACCTGAAGTAACCTGCAGCGAGACGCAAATTTCACAGGTATTCAAATCTGCCTTCACCCTCTCCTCAGTTACATTCTCCTCCCAATGCAGAACGTGAAAATCAGCATATTGGCCCAGAGAAATTGGTATATTTCCCAGGGAAGTGGCCATCAGCTTTTCAGATATTCAGTTATAAAGTTATGAAAATAAATTAGATCAGTGATGGCGAACGTTTTCGGCACCATGTATCCAAATCGGAATGCATGTGCATGTTTGCACACTGGAAACCCAAAGACCAGCTGGCTGGCACACCAATGCCTTTTTTTGCCTTTTGGGGTGCCATTTTTGGGGGTGTTTTCTGACACTCCAGTGCGCGCAAAGACCAGCTGGCTGGCCCAGATGTGCACACTGGGAAACAGACGAGCAGCTGCTGAGGGCACGCGTGCCGACAGAGGGGACTCTGCGTGCCAGCTTTGGCACGCGTGCCATAGGTTTACCATCATGGAATTAGAGAAGAAGTGGAAGAGATATGGTGTGCAATCATGAAATTGTTTTCCTCTTAAGAATGGTTAAAAGCTCATTGGTATTGGAGCATAGCATACATGAGCAGGGGGAAATATGGTGCTTTTGGAACAGAATTCTCATATTTCTTAGGAATAGAGATTGCCAGCTAATACATCTGGAGGCCATCAAGCTAAAGAAAACTGCTTTTAAAATGTTGCTTTGTAAGTTTAATACAAGTGCAGAGTGATTTGCAATTCCTTCAGACAGCACATGTTCTACCTTAGCTGCCTTGCAAATCTTCATTGATAGCCCTGGAAATGGTTTGTTGTTGTTGTTTTTTAAAAAAAAATCTTCACTGTTTCTTCGGCGTAAAGTGCATGAAAAGTTGAACAAAAATTGACCAGTACTTTTGGTATTGGTATTGGTATTGGTATTG